TGCTACTGCACAAATTACAAAAAATGAAGAGCTCAAATGTGAAATTTCTAATTCACAAGAAACCAGGGGAGTCTTCATTTGATTCCTTATTATTCTTAATGAGAAGATGAAACTCGTCACTGATGAATTTTAAAACTGCCTAAAGTATCTCCCAAAGAGTTATAGATAGAACTAATTTCAAAGTACTTTGTATTCACATAGATCAGAATCTTGCTGAAATACTTTAGTGTTAGTTTCTTAGGAATTGTAAAATCAACATGAAAAATTAACTTATTTTTATAAAGCATCTACTATGCTTAGTTCTATGGAAAGTGACCTTGAGAAACTCAGTGAATGGGGATACAATGCATTTGTGGAAAGATAAGAAAGAAAAACAACTTAATGTAAAACTAGGCACAGCATTTCATAGTGCATACAATGGATGTGACAGAAATGTAGCTATAAGAAAAATATCACCTTGTGAGACTTTCACAGAAGAGGTGCAGTGTATAAATTCTGGGGATTGGGTAGCATGTGTGGTGAGATTATAAGGAGATGCAAATTGAGAGATGATCCTGGGAGATGAATACCAAAAGTAAAGGAAGAAGGATATAATATTGAACAAGTATAGGCAATAATGATAACCGGTAGAGCAGAGGATGCTAAGGCTAGTTGAGAAAGATGAGGTCCATCTCTGGAGAGAACTGGCTAACAAGATGAGACTTAAGAGCTCTCTTAGTTAGGCCAGGAGTGGTGGCTCACACCTGTAATCCTAGCACTCTGGAAGGCCAAGGCAGGAGGATCACTTGAGGTCAGGAGTTCGAGACCAGCCTGAGCAAGACCCCGTCTCTACTAAAAAAAAAATAGAAAGGAATTAACTAGACAACTAAAAATATATAGAAAAAAATTAGCTGGGCATGGTGGTGCATGCCTGTAGTACCAGCTACTTGGGAGGCTGAGGCAGAAGGATTGCTTAAGCCCAAGAGTTTGAGGTTGCTGTGAGCTAGGCTGACGCCACGGCACTCTAGCCCAGGCAATAGAGTGAGACATTGTCTCAAAAAAAAAAGGCGCTCTTATTTTGTATATCTTGCCTGAGAGTCACCTACAGCATAAATGTTAATATCTAAAGCTCTGAGACAGACTGCCTAATACCGCCACTTACTAGCTATTTGGCTTTGGATAAGTAGTTTAATTTTCTATCCCTCAATTTCCTTATCTGTGTAATAGGAACAATACCGGTATGTAGCAATACAAGTAAAGTGCTTACAAGCTTTTTTTATTCTATAAGATTGGCATTCTTAAAGGGAGGATAAATGTTTTTAAAAAACCAAAGGTTTTCTCCTGGAAGCAATGGACAAAACAGATTTAAAAGGTGTACAATTTCAGGCAGGGGAAGAAATCAGGCATCATTTTATTCACTGAGCTTTTCCCCTTAACATTCATAATCCATTATCATTCAAACTAGAATATTGATCTCAGGTTTTTTATATTTAAGTACAACAATGACTTTTATTTTCCCCACCTTTCTACCTAAGTATTTGTTTCTACTGTCTCCAAGATCTCTGAAACCAATGGCCAAATAAGAAACTTAATGATGATCTTTCAGGTTTAAAAGCTGAATCTTCTAGATCATTGCCCACAAGAGAGCTGACAGTTCATTTGACCTTAATAATTGCTGATAAAGTTCTTTATTCATATTTGGGTAAAATTAATGACTTTGAGGAACATTATAGGATATACATTAATATTCACTACAAATGGAAAACTTCTTTGAGTTCTAATTTTATGCACGATAAATTGGGGCTTTATTACTACATTTAACCTTTAACACATCTTTCTTTAAAATATAGATTCAAATGTGAAATCTAGTATTTGCATACATGGTACCAATTTGTGACGGTCACCCTTTCTAACCCACAATGCTTTAAGTTCATAAAAGGAACCTGAATTATAATGAGATCTAATATTTCTATTATTGGTACACACAATTTCTTTCCAGATCTTCTTTATGTATGTAAGTAAAATTATGCATAGTGCAGATTGAATTGCTAAAAACTCCAATGAGAAGTGAGAAATATAAATATAAATGTAAATATGTCATACATACTTATTTCAGGTGAATATCATTTCCCCTTTATCTGAAATGAGTTTATCTTTTAAACTCAGGGAATTGGGCAGAACAAATGCATTCTCTTCTTTGAAATAAATCAAAGTTATTTATGTCAAATATTCTACCTAATAGAGGTATATTGGGAACTATAACAATTGATATGATAAAAGAGAAATAATGTTCAGGTTCAGATCTTAGCTTCTGTACTAGACTATAAAATGAGACTGACTTATTTTTTAGTACTATCTTCATTGCTCTGTTGATCAAATCTATGTCCAATAAAGACATGATCAGGAGCTATTATAATACAAATCCTACAACCTTTGTAACATTCATCAATCTACTAAAATTTTCTGCTTAAAGCCTTTAAAACAAGACTATGACTGATGGTTTATAATTTCTTAAAGAAAATTTATAAATTTCTCCTTCATGCTTTGCCTTAGGAGTATTTCAGAATTGCCCACTCTAATATAAGTCAGCCCAAACTGCTGCACTGTCTTGAAAGTTATACAACTGCAAAAGTGGCTGTAGTAACTGCTTAAACCCTGACTTCAGCTTGTTGATTTGTCTTTTAAGGAATAACTAGAGGACAAAAAGAACATAATCTAAACAAGTGATTGCAGGGCTTTCGAAAAAGAAATGCTTAATTCCTTTGTAATTTATATTGTAATTCTTGTCCCTTTTATGAACTCAAAAGAAAATAATGCTATAAAGAAATAGAGAAATGTCTATGTATGAGTACTTTTATAGAAGCAGGTTGGAAAATGAAATTCCTATTAATAAAAGACAAATAATTTAGCTGCCACAGCTGGATATCTCCTAACTGCAGCACATATTTCTGTAATTGCTCTAATCCTTGTGTGTTTTCTTGCTCTTTTGCAGGCAGACCAGTAATGATTGTGGTAGAATATATGGAGAATGGATCCCTAGACTCCTTTTTGCGGGTGAGGTGTTCTTTTCTGATGGCATTTAAATAAGCTATTCTGAGTTCTATATTTAAATCATTTATCATAAATTAATTTTTGCATAATGTTATTCATGAATTTTATGTGAAGAATAGCAGCGTTTTCTCTAGGGTACATTTCCCTGATACTGTGATACATTAGAGTGTTACTAAGTGGGGAGGATGTATACTTAATAATATAATTGATTTTACCTATAAATTCACTTGCCATATATATATACACACACACACGTGTGTGTGTATATATATATATTGCAAATGATGCTATCATGAAGAGAGAGATTAAATAAAGATCACTTGCCTCACACAGCCATTCATTTTTGCTTTGTAACACTTAACTATTCAACATGATATTTCATGCACTATCTATAATGCTAACCTCCATAAATTTGATATATATTTACCAACACCGACTCAAGGTCATTTCACAAATATATTCCTGTCAACTTTGTTCCTCTTAAGTTCATTTGGCTGACTATTCAGAAAACAAAAGGAGAAAAACTAAAACTTCTTTAGCAGAGAATTGTCTTAGAATGAAAATTTAAAAAACATTCTATCTAAAGTAACTTATCCTTAAAAGTGTAGTGTATACAGAAAACAATTTGTTTTATATAATGGTACAAAATAACAAAGCTGAGAAGGTACCAGGGAGCTATATTTCAAAATACATGTATAATATGTTTAACATTTTAAAAGATATCATTTGCTATGAGAATATTCATTGGTAGTAAAAAATGTGAAATATAAAAATAATCAATGCAGTAAATATTTTTCATCCCCAACAGAGGTCACATATTTGTATGTCATTGTATTCATATATATGCGTGTGTATATACACACATATATGTATATGCATATACACATACATATATATCTATATTTATATACAAAGAGAGAAGAGACAAAAAGACATAACCATTTTTCTTGCTTTAAGAATGGCTGGACTTTGCCATTTTAAATGTGTTATATTGTTTTTCTTCTTTATTTTCATGTGAAAATAAGACATTCTTTCTTCACTTCATTTTTTTGCCCCACATTATTCGAACAAGTTTCATTTGCATCTCACCTTTCTCTCTTGATTTCATTTTCATTTATTTTTCTTGATTCTGTGCCCTCTTCTTCCAACTGCTCTCAATGTTAGCAGTGATGATATATTTACACTGTGACTGGACTTGATGTCCAAATTCAATACCAGAAGCTGAATTCAGCAGAATCGTCAGGTTATTATAAAGCAATACAACTTGTGCGATGTGTATTCTCAACCAAGTGCGCTCTTTAAGACAAAATGAAATTCAAAGGTATTTGGGGACATGAACTGCTTGTTCTTTTCTGTAGCCATTCCCAGAATGTGTTATTTTATAGCTTGCATTCATTTCACCTGTTCCAGATTATTTTAGAATAATTTATCAGGACCACCTACAGTACTTGAAATGCACATATACTTATGTCCTTTATTATGTTTATTCAAAAACTCATTTTTATTATACATATACCAAAATGATTCATTATCTAATGATGCTTGGGATAGGTTGGTTTTCTTTTCCTTTTTCTTTTTTTTATCTTTTGTGGTATAACCTATATCCTAGAGCAGAATATAATGACAAATAATGTAGCAGATACACAATCTAAATTGCTGCTGGAAATTGGATCGAATGACTTCCACAAGCAAATTAGGTGAGAAATGTTACTTCTTCACCTAATTTATAAACTCTATTCTGCTGAATCATTAATCAGTTAAAATATGTTATAAAGAAACAATAATATGTTATAAGTAAAATATTTACTTATACACATTCTACTATATGTTTATAAGTGGTATAATTTTTATGATTTTATTTTTAAAAACTAGTATTTTTTAGATTTTATTGTGTGCCATGTAGGTAAGACATTATCAGGGAGTCTAGGAAAAAAAGTAAATATTCAATTGATGGTGACTGTCATTACTACTATTAGAACCTGAGCACTTATCTTGGCTAATCTTGACTGCCACTACGGGCTGTGTGTCCTTGGGTACCCAACCAAATTCTCCATACATCTGTTTACTCATATAAAATACAGATATGAACAGCACCTACCTCACCTCATAAAATTTTTATAAAGATTGATTTGATTATTATAAAGCTTATAGAATAATGCATGACACATTGTAAATGGCAGAGTGAGGATTCAAACTTAAGTTTCTATGACTCAAAAAGCCATGTTCTCATACACTATGCATTATTTTTATTAAATGGCTTACTACTTTTCCTTATGAGTTCACTACTATCTCCCCATTTGTTCTATGTCCCCTCTGCACATAGAGCTTCTAAAAAAAAAAAGATGATAATGAAAAAAAAATCGAATGAATGGGAAAAAATAGGCTCAATACTTTTGTGTTACCCTTCTTTAATATTCTTACACTTCTTTGTAATCTTATCCCTTCTATCCCAGAAATTCAAAGTGCTTTAGAAACTTTATGTCAATGGCAGACATGCAACTCCCCATGGCAAGCAGAAATAAAATATATAAATATATATAGCCCATAAATTCTCAAAAGCAAAGTCATTTTCAAACTATTGCTGTATAATTTAGTCATCACAGCTTCTGTAAGCATAGGAAAAAAGAAGTGGCTAAATGCACTGTGTAGTAGAGGAGTCATCTATGGATCATTAATAGCATTGTTTGCTTACTGGAGGCATAAAAGATTTCCTTTTGGTCTCCCACACCATTTGAAAAACACTTCAAGTTGCTATTTTATTATGAAGGAGTGGTAGCACAACTAAGTACGAGGTTACAATCTAGTGCCAATGCTGGTGGCTGGCTGGCTGTGATATTGTACCAGATTTGTAAATCTCATATTTTGGGGGATCCTTGTGGATAGATATGGCAAGGGAAGGTGTGTAGTCTTGTGTATGTATGTGTGCACATACATGTGTGTAGTGGAAGGGTGTATGTGTATGTTTTTAATTTTCAAGTTAAATACACTCTAATTTAGCAATCAAATCATCAGCCATCCTGCCCAGAAGGTGTAGCATCATCAATGTGCAGATTTTTCAGCTTTTCCAAGGAAGTACATTAGTGTGAATTAAGTGTAACCTTGACCATCATCCCTATACAGTCTTTCTGCAACTACACATATGGATTTCACAAACATGCTTTTTGGCACTTACCTGGAAACCACCTGCCTCTAAATCTTAGGACCTCCATTTTCATAACAATATTAACTAGCAATCCAAATAAAAATAGTTATAAGATACTTTAAAACTTTGAGATGTTACATGTCAATCAAAAAATATTCCTTTATTTTGTAACATTTGTTGAATGTGAATTTGTTTGTCATTTACAAAATCCAGTTATACCAAAATATAAAACCACTGACTTCAGTTAAAGATGATGCACTGTGTTCACACAGCAAGCCTCTATTCACACCTCAAATCCTTTGTCATGAAAGAAAATGTACATAATATTTTTACAAAGCACAATCACATGGACAAACAAGAAGAGGTGTCATTCTTAAACCAAAAATCTAAGAGAAATTAATAAAGACAAAAAGCAAGCAGGACTGAATTGAGTAAGGAAACCATAGCTCAAAATACGGTCAGGGAAGGAGCAAGAGGAGTAAAAGGTGGTGCTACCAGGTAAAACAAAGATACAAAGGAGGAAAAGGATAGATTGGTAGTTGGGAGGAAATGATGAGTTTCATTTTGATCATGTTACTTTTGAGATGTCTGTGGAATATCCAATGAAAACATCCAGACATAAATTGGCAATATAAATATGAATCTCACTAGGAAAGTCTTGACTAAAGTAAAAGATTTGGGAGTTGGTAGCATAAAGGCAGTTATTAAACCCAAACCATATTTCCTAGGAAGAACTTTTCTAGGAAGAAAAAAATTTAAAAAGATTGGAACTCTGGGCTATACCAACCTGAGGGGCAGTGTGGATGGAGTCTCCAAAGGTAACTAAGCACAAGTGGTCAAAGAGGAACAAGAAGGGAGAGAAGAACATGAAGTCCCAAAACCCAAGGAGATAGAGCATTTCAGGCAGAAGAAAATAAGCCATTTGTGTTAAGTGCAGCAGAGAAATTCTGAAAGGCAGAGACTGAAAAGCATGTATGAGATTTAGCATGTAAGAGGTCCTCAGTGATCTCAATAAGAACACTTTTAACTGGTTGGTCCAGGCAGATGCAAGAATGAAAATGAAAGACTGACAGAAAGTGGTAGGTGGAGATGATTGCTTTGGGAAAAAGTAGGTGAGATGTCAAAGCAAAAGATACATCAGTTGCTAGTAGACAATAAAAAGAAAAAAGGAAAGAAAGGATTTTCCAATTTTTATTGTCATAAAATATACATAAAATTTACTATTTTAACCATTTTAGATGCACAATTCAATGGTATTAAGTTAATTCATATTATTGCACAGCCCTCACTACCATCCATCACCAGAAATCTTTTCATCTTATGAACCTGAAGCTCTATATCCATTAAATAATAATTCTCCATTCCTCTCTTCCCCCAGCCTCTGACAGCCACCACTACCATTCTACTTTCTGTCTCTATGATTGTGACAATTCTAAGTTCCTCATATACGTGGAATCATACAGTATTAGTCTTTTAGTGATTGGCTTGTTTCACTTAGAATCAATATCCTCAAAGTTTAGTCATGTTGAAGTATATGTCAGTATCTCCTTTTTAAGTTTGAATAATATTCTATTGTAGGCATATGCCCCAGTTTGTTTATTCATTCATTGATTCGTACCTGCGTCACAAGCATGTTTAAGCTTTTGGCTATTATGAACATGGGTGTACAAATATGTCTTCAAAACTGTGCTTTCAATTTGTTGAGTGTATATTCAAAAGTGAAATTGTTGGATCATATTATAATTCTACGTTTAACTCTTTGGAGAACCACCATAATTTTTTTCAGTGGTTATAACATTTTTCATTCCCATCAACAGAGTACCAGGGTTTCAATTTCTTCACATCCTCACTAACACATTAT